TTAATCAGTAATTACTTTTGTAGCCTTTGCAGCATTGTTACAGTGACACAAAATTGATTATTATCTCGTTTCTTAAAATGTATATATTTTTAAAAAATGACAATCAATATAATTTAACAAATTCAAATTGTTCCTTAGGTGGGAGAAATGAATGCATTTCATTATTTTCTTTGTGTGCATAGAATTTTCTTTCTAAGCAACAAGCCTTTATTATTACCACGAGCATTGTTTTTAAACTGTAGTCTTTCCAAATGAAGCGAAAAGATGTGTTTACTTTACTGTTTGTTAGCTTTGCAACTCATGGGTGTAAGAGACTGCTATTAACATTTACGATTCTTGTTAGGACTTTATGCTTTCATTCTGTGGAAACCTTTCTGGGCTGAAATTCCATTGCTGAACCTTTGTTATTCAAAGTTTGTACGTGAAGGGCACAAGTTGTATTATTAATGGTATTATAATTATAATCTTAGCTTTGCACCACAACACGAACAAGCTATTTCTTGTCAGTCTGTGTCTATAATCCTTGTTTTTTTATTATGGGTGCGGGAAGGATGATAGTCTGTTGTAATGAGCTGATCTACAATAAGAAAGAGGGAAAAGTTGTTAACATTGCTGCATGACAATCTGCCTGCTGACAGACTCTTAATACCATCGTGGAGTTGCTCCACCCAATGACTGAGCCTCCAGCAATGGTGCGTTTTGATCTTGCAGGATGTAATTGCGGGTACAGTGCCATGTTGTGACATTTTTGTGACATGATTTTGGTGATGGCAATTGGGAAAAACAGTGTCAATATGAGTGCAGAACGAAAACCCAGAAAAGACAACAATTTTTAAATATTATTGCTCAAGCGTCACTTGCATGTCTCTCGGTGCAGCTGTATGTGAGCAGAGAATAATTCATGCTAACACCATACAATCAAATTAAAAAAAAGATAGGAAAACATATGCAGGAGGTTGACAGCCCAAACACATGGCAGATAACTGAATGTTAGCAGAACCCCCAATGATACCAGTTCTAAAAATTAGCTTTCTGATGAGTTTCCAAGCAGCCCATTATTCCCAGAATCTCTAATAATAATAATCCTTGCATAATAATAATCCTTACTTTGGTGCAGCGCCTTTCATGCGGGGAGGATATCCCAAAGCGTTTCACGGGATACACTGACTGTGTATTTTTGTGGACGTGCTTCTTGCACTCTTTTCCATTCAGTGCTATCCACCAGCAGTGTTGCCAGATTGGACGGGTTGCCGGCCAATTGGTCTAGTATTTTTTTATATAGTGTATGGGGGGAATAAAAGACTTTGGGCAGGTGCCTAATTTGGGTCTATTCAGGGCTGTAGTGAAATCCAGAACAGAACAGCATGTGGCTGAAGAGAAATAAAGAGACAGGCGGATGGTCCAATGGTAGTATGGGTTTGGTTGATGGACAGACAGATGACTCAATGGCAGACTGGGTAGTTGCTGGAAGGCGGGTAGTCCAATGGGAGCATGGAGCAGGTTGATGGACATTTGTTGCTGTTTTGAAACCTAAAATGTAAATAACTAAAGTTGGTCCATCTCTCTCCGCCTCTGATTCTGTTTTTGTATTCCTATGACTGCTTTTCCCCATGCTTGAGAAGTGTGTAAGAGTTTAGTTTATGAATGGTTGGTCCCTGGTGAACTGCACATGTGCTCTTTAGTAAGAAACTGAAAATACCAAGTGTTTTGGGCTTCATTTGAGCTATTTCGGCAACATAATATTTGGGCTACTTTGTGGCTGATATTTGGTTGATTTGGGGCTACAGGTATTTTTAATTTCTGGCAACCCTGTCCACCAGATAGGACAGGCACTGGAGTAATTTCACTCTAACTCTGAATGCTGGTGAATGCAGCGATTTAGCTGCAAAGTGATTAAAAAAATCTTCCCAGTTGAGGCAAGCAAATCCAAACCAAATGCTGGTGTGGTGCGAACCTTCAACCGCTTGATCCATTTTGGCTGCCAGAAAAACATAATCTTTCTGATTTAGCAGATGGAACTTTTTTTAAATGTTGGAAGTAGACACACCAAGTTCAGTAATATTGGAGAACATCATGTCTTCATTGTTAATGTAACAAGCTTTGCGGGCCTGGCTCTTGCTATCATTTCTTTCCACAGTCAATGACCAATTCAATTCCCCCCTTATATATTACAAGGAAAATTGAAGTCATAACAATTATAAAGCTATTACTGACCTGATTTATTATGTATGTAGGTGTGGGCGAAAAGCATTGAAGATGGAACCTTTAGGCATAGGTATAGGTTGTATTGTGTAGCTGTATCAGCTACAGAGATTGCTTTTAACAGATGAAAGGTAACCCTGACCTTTGTTTTGATTCCCTGTTCTGTACATTTTGGGCCTGAAGCTGAACAAATAGGACAAGGTGTACCTGACCTTGAATAAAGCTTACTGTATTGAAGGCTCAATTGTACAGTCTAGCTAGTACATCTTGTGAATTTTTAAAATCCTTTTAAGTGAAGGGATGGTTGGTCTGGAAGTAGATGTGCCCCAAGTATCATTTAACCTCTGTGTTCAGTCACTGTGCTAAATGAACCATTGTGCAATAAACAGATAGTGCTTTCTGGGCTAAGAGAGGCAACCATTGCCACAGCAGTGTCTGATGTCTGGGAGATGGTGGTGAGGGGGAAGATTGTTAAAAATGTAAAAAATATACAGAGTTGCAGCATGTTTCGCACCAGTTGAATCTGCTTAGAATCGCATGTTAAGGCGGTGAATGAGTGAGTGATAGTTCTCCGTGAATATAATGAACTATAATCACAGCCTCAGCTATTATTCACACCCTACCTTTGAAATCACATTTCAAATGCCCCTTGTGTAATAAATGGAATATCATTGTGTTGTCTGTACAATATTTGTGAGAGAAATGCTATATTACACTGCGACTGATTTGATGGTCTGGATTCTTGGATTTTTAAAAAAAATTGTAATATTCCAGCGGTGATAGAATTAAAACTAAACTCCCTTTAAAAATACTTACAGATTGAAATTGTGCCTATATTTGCTATTGAGGACTGTTCTGAACCCCTGCCCCGATTTGGGGTCAGGAATCCTTAAATCACAAATCCTTTTTTATGGTTGCCTAATGTAAGCAGGGCCTGCTCAACATTATCTGTGTGATTTTATCAGTCGAGCCAGGCCAAGACCCAAGTGACAGTGAATAAATTCAGTTGGCATTGCTTGACGTAATGAATGGCAAATGTGGGTAGTTACATTCACTCCATTGTTGCTCGTAGTGTTGGCAATAGAATAGCAGCTTCAGTTGGTTCAACTCTAATATATAATGTATATATATATATAATGGTGCGCAATTTAGGCATCAGGTTAGATCCCCAGCTTTCTTTTTTACCCCACATCCATAACCTGACCAGGACTGCTTTTTTCCGCCTCTGCCACATTGCCCATCTCCATCCGTACCTCACAACCAACGCGGCTGAAACCCTCTTCCACACCCTCGTCACTTCCTGGCTGGACTATTTCAGTGCCTTCCTCATTAGTCTCCCCAGCTCCACCATACACAAAATCCAATTAATTCAAAACTACGTCGCCCAGATACTCAACCGCAAAAAACTCGGTACCCCCATCACACCAGCCCTTGCCAGGCTCCACGGGCTCACAATCACCGAACGGATCGATTTCAAGATCCTCTCACACATTTTCAAATCTTTTCATTCCCTCACACCTCCCTACCTACCCGACCTGCTAACCCCCACTCCACCAACCACTGCCTCCGCTCAGTTTCTGACCTTCTGTTTGTCTCTTGTACCCTCCATATAGCCATCAGTGGTCGTGCCTTCAGCCACTACTCCCCTCAATCCCTCCACCTTCCCCCCCTCCCTCCCCAACTTCAAATCCCATCTAAAGACCTTCCTACTTGATAGAGTCACTTCCCCCCTCCCTGGTTCGTTGTCAGACTCTGCCACTTTCAAGTGATCTGGGACGCTATCCTGTGTGAAGGGCGCTACATAAATGCAAGTTGTTGTTGTGAACACAGCAGCAAATATGCGCAGAGCCATGAAGTGAATCAACAATTTTATTTGGGGCATCATTTGATATGTGAAGCATCTGAAAGTGCTTCACAGAATTTTACCATGAATTGTAGTGACTGTGTATTTTTCAGACAAAATTAGTTTTCCAGAAAAACAACCTTTGTACTCTTATTGTAGATTTATGAGGAAATAATTTGCAGGTTATTTCCAGAAATAACCCACATGCAGTATTTATTCCAAATGCACAAATAGCAATTGTAGGCAAAATCATTCTTTATCCATACAAGCTGTGCAGTTTCTTGGTTCAGAAGTTATTTTTAACAGATCTAAGAAAAATGGAGTTGCTTTCCAGTGTGGATGTAATCCGGTCAGACTCATCTGATGTGGACAGAGTTGTTTTACTTTTATTTGTGAACCACTGAGATTTGAAGTTTATGCACCTCAGTACTGTATGTTAAGATTAAAAAAAGAAAACTCAGTTAAGAGTGATTTTCAATTATTTTAAACATAAATATTTGATATATATATATAAAGAGTAAAACAAAGATTAAGTAATATTTATTGCAATATTGAAGTATGTGTCAAAGAATTAAAGCTCCTCTGAAAACAATAACAGGTCATGGAGTTATGTATTTCCCTATTGTAGTGGGTTTTAACTTAAAGGGGATGGTACAGGCAGAAAGCATGGATAAGGTCTGGTTATCCCATAGGAACAATAAATGTTTGCTCCAAGTGTATGAAATATTTGTGGATTTTGAATGTCTAATGCCACTCTTTTGATCCTTCACAATATATAAAGGATGCCTTCCCTCGTTTCATATTTGTTGCTTATTCATTTTATATTTTTGACTATCCCATCTGTTGAAGTTTGTTAGAACTGTTGAATAGAAATTGTCCCTTCAGTTATTATAATAAGGTGAAAACTAACCTGGTTAATTGGACATTCTCATAAGCCTCCAATTTCTTTGTTCAGAGGCCAGCAGAGACTGTAGACGAGGAGGAAGATCCCCAAGACCTCCTTACAGAAGAAGATATTGATCAACAAAATCGGGATTTGCTAAACAAGGAACAGGAGCCTCATCAAGATTTGTTTTGCAATGAAGGTGAAATAGATAATTTATATCAGGAAGCAAATCCTGAGATTCCTCTGGATGAAGAGGTAAACGGTGAAGACAGTGAAAGTTACCAAGTGGGAAAGGAAAATCCTGAAAATGAGGAGGAGGATTTTGGTCAGGAGAAGGAGAGTCATGGAGAAGATAAGAATTTTTCTCAGACAGAAGATATATACTCAGCTGAGGATTTGCACCAGGAAAAAGAAATTATTTCTAAAGCAGCTGGGGATCTGTTGGATGAGAATGGCAAAGAAAAGAAAATTATTTCTACAGAAGGACATACCAAGGTAAAGTACTTTTGAAATTTCAGTTTTATCTTGCAAGAGTCACCATTTCGTGTAAGGGAAGACATTTAGTTTACTGAGTGTAGTTCCTTAATCAAAATGAATTATTATAACCCCAAGACCAAAACAAATCACAAATTACTTCATATATACTGAGATCTGTTTATACATAACTTGTTTCTTATATTAGCCTCTCTAAAATAGATTGTAAAAAGCGCTCTGTAAATGATTTGCTTGCAGGATTATTTTCTTTTCTAAAAAAATATATATATACTTCATTTTTAATGACCATAAAGGAACATTTGATCCAACTATGAATTATCTTAAGTCCTTGAAGTGAGATGCCAGGGTGCCATGACCTTTGGATGCTCCACAGTCCTGCTAATTAAGGAATCTTTGATCTGGAAAAAACTGAATTTTTCACTCGCTTTATCACAGCCGTGTAAACATTTATTCAGGTAGTGCTGGGTGAGGGTAAGTTTTTCAGTTCAAAACAAAAAGGGCATCATTGCAGTAATGTAAGAAAATGTCAGAACGTCACTTAATAGAAAATCCACTGTTCTGTTCCTTCATTATAATTGGAAAGAATAAAATTGGTGTTTCAGTTATTCCTCAGCTCACCTAGCCCTCCGAAAAATAACAAGTTATTCTAAGGGTTTATTTATTCATCTAATCTTAATTATATTTCTGAATGTTTAGTGGTTTGAGGATTGAGGGTTACATTAAGTTAGGACTGGGTGCTCTAACCAGTCTCCAGTCTGTCAATGCAGTACTAACATTGTTAGTACTGTATAATCTCTTCAAAGTAAATAAATAATAATAATTTAGTTACTCAATCCACGACTGTTGTGAGCACTGCTGTGCGCAATTTGACTGCCACGTTTCGCCCACAAAATAAACAGTCAATTCACTTTACAGTATATTCTGTGAAGCGTTTTGAGACGTTTCAAAGACGTGATCATGCGCTACATCAAATGCAAGGATTAGTATTGTTAGTACACATCTTGCTCATTTGCATACAGGAAGCAAAATGTTATTTGTGCAAATTAGACATTTTAAATTGTCTATTTGAAAAAAAAGGGTTATTAGTCTGCAAGGTAACAGTTGGGTCAGTGGATGGAAAGAGAAGAGGCCTATGTGAATACTTCTGTCACACATTGTTTACAGTGAGAGCCTGAATGTTCAAATAAAATCCTCTTGCTTCAAGGAAGAATGAATGTTTCCTGACATTTTGTTCTCCATTGGGAAATATACAGGGATGTGTTGACACTGTTATGATTTGGTGGTTGATAAAACATTGTGGAGCAATCCTTGCAAAGTTTAAATATTGAACGGTTTGAAATTCTTCACAATGGAAATTATTATATTTCATGTAAATTACTTATGTTGCAATTCAGTTTTCTAAAAAGGAAGTTTATTGTAAAGTTGTAATTACCAAAGAAACCATTAAACAAACATCTTGTTGTCCTGATCTAAATTTGTTTTTATCACACTGACATTCTTTGAAAAATTTAACTACACTTACTATTCACTGCTGCACAGTAATATAGTTAAACTAGTTCATTCACATTTGTCTGCTTTTAAAATGTAATTTCTTTTAAAGGCAGACTTTCACCCATTTAATTTTTCAACTTTTAAGTCATCTTATCCTTGTTTAAAATAGGCTAGTGTTTTCTAAGAAAACAGTGTTTTCTTATTAACTGATTAATCCTAACTTGAATGAAAGTAAAACAAAGTGATCGATTGGTAATTTGATTATTTGAAAAAATATACAATACCAGGTTAATTGATTTGAATTTTGAAAATTGTAACTTAAGTAGGCTTTTAAAACAAAATCTATTTTTTGCAGTTTAGAAAATATATTTTGCTTTGGGAACCAAAGGCAAAGAAAGATTCATTGTGGTAAAAGGTTTGCTGAGTTCCCCAAATAAATCACTATAACAGTTCATAAGATTGATAGTTCACTAGATCTTATCACAGTATGGGACGTCTCACACTTTACTTATTAAGAACATGTTTCAAGAACAGATCAATTCTTAAAATCTGTTTCTTGATGGGTTTATGTTTGAAAAGAGAGAATTGGATTAAATTAGCAATATTTCACACAGCTTGAAACATTTACCCCAGAATCTTCCTGAAACTACATCCATGCAACTCATTTCCAAATTAGACATCATAGATTGTCTAATACTGTACTAACATTCACTGTGATAGTTATTCTCACTTTGTTCAGTGATTATCTCTCATTAACCACTCTGTGTATCTAAAATAATCTTGTAATTTACAAGTCAAATATTTGCACATTAATGTGGAATATCAGTTCCTTTGTGCATCCTCACTTTCCCTGCATATACCCTGCTGTTTTTTAAGAGGAAAAAACTGTTTGGATACATGAACCTTAAGAACCTCTAGGATTACTTTGTACCTTTGTCATAATGTGGTCTAAATTCACAATTTGTAAGAAGTGAATCTCGTCTGTTTTTATGGCCTGTTAACAGGCCTGTAACTGTTATGGCCAACCAATTGTAACTTAGGTTGGACCCTGACTTAAAGAAGATGAATTAAGATGAGTGAATGAATCCCGCAATTTAAGACTACAGCCATCAATTTTAAATTTTTTATTTAAAAATAAAAATAATAATCCTTGCAATTGATATCGTGCCTTATCACATCGTTGATATGTCTCAAAGCGCTTCACAGAATATATTGTAAAGTGATTTGATTGTACAATTTGTGGGCGAAATGCAGCAGCCAATTAATTGTGCGCAGTAGTGTCCCACAAACAGTTCAAATTATTATTTCAATTAAATTCCAAAATTGAGTGACCAAATATATTTTTATTTAAGTTTTTTTTGACGGGATTATTAAGCGATCTGCCAATCGACTAATAATCAGGTTCCTACTTACTACTAGGTAAACAGAAACATAAGGAATCTTGCCTAACGTTTTGCCTTGCTCGGGAATCAAACCTGGGTTGTCTCGCTGGCGAGGCGAGGGCTCTAACCAATGCGCATTGGCGAGTGCTCTAACCAATGCGCTCCAGGACTCCTGTACAGGGCTACAGTACTCAACACAAATCAGGGCACAAATCTTGTTCCTGAATTCATCAGTGAGATTTTTCCTTTATAAAGGGATACAAATGGAAACACTTGCATTGTAGCTGAAATGATATTGTCCGTGGTTTTACAATAAAATCAACATTGTTCATTGATGTTACAATCATGAAACTGCAATTCTGTGAGCTTTTCTTGCCTCACTTATTTCCTAGACCGACTGATGACTTGGTTTCAGTGGCGGATGTTTGCTTTTATTTTCTTGCTTATTCTGACTTTTCTTTCTATGAATATTTATCCTTGCGTTATTATTTCTGAAGACACACAACCTGCAACCATTGAGTTCTGTTCCAGATTTCTGTTCTCAGAGTTGACACCAGATTGTGTTGTAGTGACTTTTTACTCTCATGCTGTTTTCATACAAAATGCTGATATTTTGAAAATGATTTGCTTAATATTTAATCTGCTATAAATCTGATCATTTGTGCCTGAATGGAAATTCCTCCAGATCTTAATAATATGTCTCCTAGATCAATAAGTGATTCCAGAAATTCCAAGATGAAAAGTGGAATGATCCAAATGATGTTCATAAGATTGGTTTAGATGAAGAAGGTCCTTCGGCCTATCTGATCTCATCCTTCCACCCACAACACCATCACAGCATCTCGACATTTTTTAAATGAGTCCAATGCCCTGGGGTATACTATGAAGTGGAATCACTCTGTTTTGTGGGCAAATATACATGTACATGAAGTGCTTCAGAAAAATAATGGGGTTCCCTTCGCAGCAAGAAGAATTGGGAATTTAATGTGTGGACCAAAGGCAGGGACAAGAAGATGACTTTTTAAGAACGGTTTAAAGGGGGTTAAGAGAAACCGCAAGGTGAAGGAATTTTACAAGAACTCTAGAGAGTGGGAATAGGGCTGCAATGGAAAGATTTTAGGATTTGAAAGCCCGGATTAGGGCAGCTATAATGTGGTTTTACATTCTCACGTCTGATTCCTCTGTGCAGCTGTTATTACCAACTCCTTCAAATAAGAACTAGCAAGGTATCTACTTGAGAACAGCATTGGAAGATATGGGGGAGGCCCTTCTCTAAAGGACATAATTCTATCTGAATTGCTAAGACAGAGTGGAATGAGGTCCATGAAGGAAAGGAGGCTGGACCTGAATTGTGGAGGTGGGAAAGCTATCCTGGACTTTTTTGCTTGATTGACTTTGGATCGAAGAGCTTTCTGCTGGATGAAAAAGTGATGGGGTGAAGATAACGATAGTTTATTTTTTACTTGGATTAGTGAAAGCAGGTTTGGCTGAACAAAATTTTCTTGTTCCATACTTTAGCGTGGAGCGTGGAGTCCTGTAGCTCAGTGGTTAGAGCACTCGCCTCGCAAGCGAGAGACCTGGGTTCGATTCCTGGTTGGGCAAGTTTCCTTACAAAGTTTTCCTTTCCAAAGTTTTGACAATGGCTCAGAGAAATGCATTTTATTTGCTTTGTGGGACTAAGTCTCAAGGTTTGTTTCCGTATTAAAGAATCTCGTCACAGTAGAGTTTCTGTGAGTTCACATGGTGTAGATTTGGTTACTGGGAGGAGAGTTCACTTATTAAGGAATCCCATTAAAAAATACTGTAAATTAACGTTCCTCCACCCCCCCCCCCCCCCCCCACACACACACACACACGTGCACAGTTTGTTTCAGGTTTTCTAGGTGACTTTTGAAAAAGTTAAGCAAGTGTGTTTACAGATTAGATCAATCTTCTTTCAGATAGTGGATTTTTTTTTGGTCAGCCGGGTGTCTTAACACATGCGGAAACCGATCACCATGCTTAAGAGTATCCAAATCAAACTGAGATTTCCATGCTTTCCACCTACACTTGGAAATCCCAGAGATAGATTGTTAGAATGGAATGCGCACTCTCTCCTCTGGAGAGACACATCCCGTTTACCTATTTCCAGAAAGTATTAGGCGCAGGTTGGCAAGAGCCAAGGCTTGTGTGTGGTGTGTTCCAAAACCAAAAAAAACAATAATAAATTGGTCATTTTCAATCTACGACTGTTTGTGGGACATTGCTGTGCGCAATTGGCTGCCGCGTTCGCCCACAAATATACAGTCAATTCACTTTACAGTGTGTTCTGTGAAGCGCTTTGGGACGTCCTCCCGACATGAAAAGCGCTATATCAAATGCAAGGATTACTATTATTATTATTATTATGTTGGGGTACTGCTGGAGTCTAACCAGCTAAAACTGCATAGCTTGCTATTGATATTGCTATCTGGCAAGCTTTACTGCTGCTTGTCCAGCTAGGACCACCCTACCCACTGGGGCTTTGGCTTGCAGGGTTAACAGAACCTGAGTGGGATGACTCCCTGCCCCCAGTGACTGGTCTACCCTTCTAGTTCGTCTTGTTGAGCCAGGCTTACTGTGCTGTCATCAGCAGCGCCCTGGAATACTGCGCACTTGTCTGGCTCAGGAACCGGACTACCGAGACTACCACAAAGAGTTGGCTCGATTCTGATATTCCGTTGCCAAGCATGGTACCTTGGAGCCAGTTCAGCTACAAGAAGGTCCTGCTTACCTCCTCCCTCCAATCAGGAATCAGATACTCGAAAGATATAATGATGTTTTTGAGTTCTCAAAAGAACTAGAAACTCAAAAGAAATCCTTAACCTCCCTGAACTGTCCCTCAAGACTCACCAAACCAGTGCGCAATCTAGGTGTCCTTCTTCCCCCACATCTGATCCCTGACCATCTTCCTCCCCCACATTGCCCGCCTCCGACCATACCTTACCCCAAATGCAGCTAAAATCCTTGTGCATGCGCTTGTCACCTCCCGCCTGGATCACTCAAACGCACTCCTCACCAGTCTCCCCAGCTCCACGATTCAAAAAATTCAGCTCATTCAGAACTCTGCCGCCCGCATACTGACCCAGACCAAACTCCGTACCCACATCTCACCAGTTCTGGCCAGGCTCCACTGGCTCCCCATCACCGATCGGATCGACTGTAAGATCCTCACGCTCATGTTCAAATCTCTTCACTCCCTGGCACCTCCCTACCTTTCCAACTCCTCACTCCCCAATCCACCACCCGGCACCTCCGCTCGACTAGCACCGGCCTCCTGCTTGTCGCTCGCGTCCTCTGCTCCACCATTGGAGGTCACGCATTCAGCCACTACGTCCTGAAACTCTGGAACACTCTCCCTCAATCCCGCCATCTTGTCCCCTCTCTCCCTTTTCGAGTCCTGCCTGAAAACCTTCCTTTTCGACCGTGCTTACGGCCACCCCCTCCCCTCCCCCCCACACTGTTTGGGGTCAGGCTCCCCCACTGTTAAGCGCTCTGAGATGCTACTCTGCATGGAAGGCGATATATGAGTGTTGTTGTATCTGGTTCTGTATCATCTACTGGGGGGATTTGGAAATTAGCAGAAGTATAAGATAGGTCTGGAGCAGCCAGTCCCTGTTACCATAGCATCAGATTCTCTGGTTGTCACCTGGAATGAATCACAGTAACTTCCCATTTCATAAAGTGTAGTTTCACATTATACGCATCTCCCTGGACTAGTACGTTCAGCAGTTTGCAACAACGGGATAATTCGCCTGCAATTAGAGCTTTTAGTTTTTATTGCCTTTTATAAACCCAGCCTGTTAGTAATCGTAAACATTTCATGTTAATTATAGAGATGCTGTAAGTCACCCTTTGGTCAATGTGTTCAGCTACAGTTTGGGAGGAGTAACAGTAATTAAAACAGTTGTAATGCTCTTTCAAGTAAACCTTCATTCATTTTAATAAAATCTATATTTTAATTACATTGCTAAATGCAGAATTACCAGTTATTTTTGTCTAAATCTTAGTTTGTCATTGAGAATTCAAAATGGAAAGGATTTGCTTTAACACTCGATGAGTCTTCTGTGAAATGTTATCAAAGCTGAAACATCAAAACCTTATCTTTCATCTACTAAGACATGAAATTTTGCCAGTCTAAAAATTCTGACTGAGCCTTTTACATCTCATTTGATTGAACCCGCATCTCGTGAAGGCATTCATTAACTAGTTTTGACAGAATGCCATGAGGTGGTCTTCTGGAGATTTGGAAACCATTAGCATATTAATTCTTCTGGGTGTGACACATTCCAGATGTATGCATCCTCACTTATTGATTGAAAAGGTGGAATAATGTCAAGTATTTAACGAGGAAGAAAGCTGAAAAAAATGTTTTTCCAATCTGAGAAAGATGGGGCATGGTCCGGGCAGGATGGCGAGTGAAATTGATGGAATATACTTCTGTGTACAGTTCTGGTCCCCATATTATAGAAAGGATATTGAGGCACTGGAGAAGGTGCAAAGGAGATTTACAAGGATGATACCGGAACTGCAAGGTTATACCTATCAGAAAAAGCTAAACAAGCTTTTACTCTTTTCTCTTGAAAAGTGAGGGGTGACCTAATAGAGGTGTTCAAAATTATGAAAGTTTTTGATAGGGTAGACATAGAGAAGATGTTTTTAGTGGAGGAGACCAAAACCAGGGGCCATCGATATAAAATAGTCCCAAATAGATCAAATAGGGAAGTTAGAAGAAACTTGTTTACCCAGAGAGTGGTGGGAATGTGGAACTTGGAGTGGAACTTGAAAGCTAGATAGGTACAGGAGGGAGAAAGGAATAGAAGGTTACACTTGAAGGCTTAGTTGAGAAAGGGCAGGAGGAGGCTCATGTGGAGCATAAACTCCGGCATAGACCAGTTGGGCCGAATGGCCTGTTTCTGTACTGTATATTCCATGTAATTCTATGAATATTTAAATTTGTCTCAGATTTTAAAAATTCAAGGTTATATTGAATCCTGTTCTGAAAGTCAAGAGGTCCCATTTTTGGAGGAGAAACTGCAACAAGTGTTTATTTAGATTTTCACAGCAAACATCGAAAAGCATGAACTGTTAGTTTTCATCCTGCAGTAATTATGAAACATTACAAATTCAGGCTGTTCACAATATAGATACATTTTTTTTCCCTACATGAATCATTTTAACATTTTCCCTCCTCGTTTTGTAGACTTCAGATGTTACTGAACCACCCTAACTGCACTATCTCGGTGTCCCTCAGACTCTTAAACAAAAGCATGGAATGGGAAAAGGACATTTAGCCCACTTGCTCCTTCTATGAACTACGTTCAATTTACCATACGATCTACATGGACTAATTTCATCTCTTGATGGAGGTTTTGCATCCACAGTGGCCATTCACAGCTCTTGATTGTCATATATTCTCCAGCCCCTGGTGAATCACCCCATGCAGAGCAAGATCGGAAATAAAAACTTGACCATAATGTTTATTTTGACATAATCTGCTGTTTTACAGATTCATTGAAAGTTTGTAGCACTGAAGGCTATTTGGCTCATTATATCTGTGCAGGTGTAACTTCGCTAATGGAGCTCTCTAATACTATGCTCCTCTGTTCCTAAAATATTATTTGTCCTCAATGTTTATTCAATTGCCTTTTAAATGCTGTTATGGACTCGATTTCAGTAACTGTTTCTTAAAATTTAACACACTGCATAATTTACCTTTGTATTTATCTGTATAAGAAATGTCTTCTTCTGGTGATAATCCTCAATTGAACCCTCTTGTTACTGATGGTGAAATCAGTGGAAATTATCTGTATTTCCCTTATCGCCACCATTCATTATTTTGAAAACCTTTGTCTTGTGTTTGTTTTCTACAGGATGGTGATCATATGAATGGAACATTAGCCTTGACCAAAACAGCAGAAAGAATACCTAGCTCTTCAGAGACTGACAGCAAAGAAACCATCCCAGTAACGAGTGAACATGCTGTCATGGCTCAGTGAGTCCACAAGGCATTAGAAGATATAAAAAAATGTCAGCACAATTTGTTATGTCCGTTTTTTTTATTTTTACCTTCTTAATCCCTGACTTTTTCACTGCTTTGCTGCTTCCACAGTTGGAATTGTGAACTGTTCTGGCTGGAACCTTCTCGATGACTGCCAATGTCATTCTGTGGTTGGTCATGGGCGAGGCAAGTGGTGGGGTTGGGGGAGAGAGAGGATTGGTTTGCAGTTAGATAGAATGCCCTTGCACCACTGTGGACTCAGCAAGAACTTTGCCAAATCATATAAATTTAAATTTCCAGCAGTGGCAACAAGTGACTGATCCTGTGTCTCTGTCACTCACTGCTGCCTCTGACTTTGATATCTATTATATCTACCAGAGTCTCATTGAACGTTTGTAGATCTTAACAGTAGCATTGGCAATCGGGTGTGGAAGGTGGGCATCAATGTGGCATTGTGTTGCAAGATGAGGTCATGTATTGTTTTGTTCTGTTCAGCTTCAACACTGGCTGTCCGTAGCTCAAATTTAGACTGTTGACATTGTTTTAGTAACCAGCATCTCAGCTTCAGGCAGAAGGATTCTGTTCCTCTTACGATGCCAGACTTCCAATAAACACTTGCTGAAAAATGTGCTTAAAGCTCAGAAGACCTGAAATGCTGGTGAGAAAGATTTAGCGCAGAAAGCATTGACTGATCTGTTAAACCGTTAAACTCAAAATTAAACTGACCGTTTCTTGTCTACATCCAAAATTGTCAACTATTCATTGGAGATAAGCTGACGATTTTTGACATGTTTCATATTGATTGCCGAGTTGATCCTTATCCCCTTCAGCCAGCCTCAGTTGGTGGGAATCACAGTGAATGAGGACGATATCAATGCCTACTGGTGCAGCTTTACCTATATTAAGCAGCTTGGCTAAAAACTGTTATGGAGAGAAAATAAACGTTAAAAAAATTGAAACAAATCTGGTATAGGTATATCAAATGCAAGGATTATTATTATATAAAACAATTGCTGAAAGGGGTATCTGGGTAATATTTTACTGAGTGTAACATGATTTGATACTCAGATAAACCTCAACACAAAATAGAAATACAGCATATTGCAGCTGTATCTATACTATTAAAGTCAGGATGAAAAACATTTAATCAACTACTGACCAATAACAGTTCTCCTTTCATATGTTTGGATCCTTGCAGTCAATCACTTTTATCTCTAATGCCTCACCTACTACCCTTTGAATAATACATCCTAGAATTACTCTAGAAATCCCGAAGGCATGGCCACATGCAGTTTGGTTAGGGTTGGTGCAATAACAAACCGTGGAGGGGTGGGGAGAGCACTGAAAGTAAGTGTATTAGAGTAAGGTAGAGGGCACAGTTAGTCAGACAGTTTCAGTGCTTTTAGGGTAACAGGAAGACCAGAAATTGAAAGGTCTTGGAGAAGGAACAATTTGTGTTTGAAATGTTGAATGGATGTTTCTCTTTGTAAGTAATGTTAAATTTTCTCCACCTTTTGCTTGTCATCTCCCCACGTTACACACCAAGCCGTGACTGAGAAGGCTAGCTGGCACCAACTCCCAGTTTTGCTGGTGCTATTGTGTTACCAACTGCTAAGAAGTGAAAGAGAATGACCCCAATCGTTTAATCTTATTTGCAGCAATGATTGCCACCTCTTCCCCCAGTGGAACAAATAAGAAGGATAAGGCTTATCTATTGGATTCAGCTGTCATGAAGAAAGATAATACTGGATTGTTTACTCCCTATTTCATGTTGTTAATGGTTGCTCAAATTAATAATTGATCACTAGCAGCACAGAAAGATAGTTTATGCAAATGATATAATGATCTGAGTTGTAAATTAACACTCTTACATCTGGTCTATCAGGTCAACCAAATTCTGTATTGTTTTGTAGATTATTCATTAGCGCATGAACACAGGCATGCTCTTCATGTTTATTACAGGACTTTCACTGATCAGCAAAGATGTAGAGCAAATCTAATCTTTTTGCAAAGTGTAGTGCTCCCTGATTATAATCTAGATATTTATTTAAGATACAGTTCTCCCCACTATGTTGATAAAATATTCCTATTGGCCAGTGAATTGGTAACGAGATCTAGGGCATACATTTGTGATGATTACCCAAAACATCTCAAACAGAGTTTAGGAGAATTGTTTTACACAGAGAATTTTTAGGACATAGAATACCATAGTGGTTGAATCATAATCCATAATAGCTTTCAAAACTGAATTAAACAAATATTTGAAAAGGAAAAATAAATAAGGCTATGGGAAAGCCAGGAAAGCGGGACTGAACAGATAGCTCCTTCAGCGACCTGACACAGACATCACGTTCTGAAAACAATGTTCTGTCCAGAAAATTAATTATTCTATTCCATAACTTTTTTAACCTGGGTGCCAACTAGAGAAAACACTCATGGAAGGTATGAAGATAACAAACCAGAACTTCAAGCTGAAGAAAAATCAATGCCTTTTATGTTGTTCTGTTTCAATCATTAGTGGAATAGGAACAAATGACTTAATATAGTATACTGTGAAGGACCACACTACAAGAGGATTGGCCTGTTCTTCATTAAGTGGGATATGTAGCACATGAACGTGTATGAAAGACAATGGACAAAGTAGTGAACATGTTGTGTTTGTTTCTCATCTCTGTTAGAATTGAAACATCACAGTAACAGGAACCTTGTTGTTAGTGGAGAGATTCTGCAGACTGTAAAGCAACAGCTTTGTTCTCTTCATGTTAAAACCAAAGCTCTCTTACTTGAGGTCAACCAATCAGGGGAGGTTTTTTTGTACACCGTGGACTTGCGCTCCACCTAGAACTTCCATTGACTCACTCGCTCCAATAGATAAGACACTTCTGAAGTAAGTGTATTCAGGGATATGGAGAAATGGGAATAAAAGATCTGCCATAATTGCAAACATTGAACAGGCCTGGCAGGCTGAATAGCCCCCTGTTCCTATGTCCTTATGTTCTCTTATAATTTTTCTTCTGTTCCCTCACTATAAAGGTTTGATCTTCTACATGTGCCAGACATCTGCTGGTACTTTGTTCAGGTAGTCAATGTTCTTGCATCAGCCTGGACAGTGTGAGTATTAGCAGACTATTCAACCGTTGGGGATGGAGAGATGCAGATTTGCAGTGGAAATAGTTTCTCCCTATTTACCTTATCAAAGTTGGGGGGGAAATGTATTTTCAGTAAAGTTCTGGGAGTCAGGGAGCATTACACTTTCCAGAAGAATATATTAATTGTATTACCAGTGAAATCTCTGCAATAAGCACGCAGTAGTTTTATTTAACACCCATCACTGGACTTAAACTAAGTCAAAATCATCCTCGACTTTACATTTTAGATTACTATACCATTTAGCCCTATTCTGCATGATGGTTGTGTTTTCACAAGCTCTTAAGTTATTGAGTCACACCAGTAAATATATATGTTGAGTATTGCCTATCCGCTTGTGTTCCAGAGGGGGTTGAAACCTAACCATACAAGGAATGGTAACACACTATCATTGTCCTGTATCCTGTGTTTCTTATATACCCTTAGTTAGGATCTTGGTAGTTTTTAATTCCCACGGTCAATATGTAAATGTTTGTTGGCTGCAAAACGATGGAGGAACTTGGTGTAGGATGTTTTGATAATTCAATGCTTGTTATTTGTAAGAACTGTTTTTTTGTCTTGGCACACATTGTGGGCGTTAAGTTACATACAGCATATACTTTAGCATCAAAGCAGACTTTCGTCATATTTATCTTTCAAAGCCTGTAAAAAGCAGTAGCTTTTATTAACACATGAATGTAGCATTAGATCAACTTTGATTTTAGTCTGTATGTAAACTATAATTTTGTATCATTACTTCAATATTATCAGTATTTTGTTGACCTCTAATGTACTTTTTTATATTTCATTTATGTATTAAAAATAAAGTGACTTATCGTTGTTTAGTGAGTTTTTGTGAGCCGAATCATGGAGTCTAAAACAGATTTGTTAGTGAAAGTGAAATGGGGATTCTAGATGGTGCAGTGGGTTAAGGGTCCTTGCAACAATAACAACAGCAGCTTGCATTTATATAGTACCCCTCATGCGATAGTGTCCCAGAGAGCTTTTCACAATGGACAACATGGTACAATATGGTATCAAAGTAGTGAACAGGTTGTGTTTGTTTCTTGTCTCTTTGCTGATAACCCGGTACACCACTCAGTCTGGTGTTACACTTTCATTGTCACTGAAGGAAATGATATTAAATGTGTTTAATTCTACATTGCTGACAGTGTCTGTGAAAGCAAATGCTATGCCAAAAGGATCGCTAGATAGAGCATGTAACTTTTGAGCAACAGGGAGAAAGAAGAGAAAATGCTGGTAACAAGTTCAGCTTTGCCATCACTTTCAGACTTTATTTAATCCATTTCAAATACTGTACATCCAAAAGCCATTTCACATCAGAATCGGACAAAAAAAAACATTTGCAAATCAGAGCTCTGGAAACACTGCATCTGGATTCTGTTGCTAATTGTTTTGTTGGTGTGCAACAAATGTGCCTGTCCACTTTATAAGGCGACTGACTGTGATATGACACGTACATTTGTACATCACTGAAGATTCTTATATGATTCACTTATTGGATGAAGCATGATTCTTAAGTTGAGCACTTGAGCTATGTGGTGGTGTCTATATTTGAACCTCTATAAAAATATGATAACCATTTAAAAAGATTTGTTCATAAATAGCTAATTTACAATGGCCTATATGATATCTACCATTTAGATTTTAGGATTGAGACGAGGGCTGCACATTCTGAACTTTGGATAAAGTGATGGGAATTCTACCTTGTCCTGGAGTTGGTGCTTTAGTGACTGGCTGCATGGATATGTGAGCTTCCGCTATTCTTTCTTTAAATTTCTGCTGAAGGTATTTTTCTTCCTTTGAGTAGCTTGCGGCAAATGCAGACAGCAAGAGACAAGTGGCCATTATCATTCCACCGATGCAAAAGAGGATGGCACCTGCCAACTTACAGATGACAAGTGCCCCATTGAACTGGACTGCACGACCATCCACTACCAGAAAATCCTCCTCTCCAAACGCTTCAATTTTGGGTGGCACGAGATAGCCAGTCGCGATCACTGCCATACCTATGAGGAGGATGATAGTCCCAGACACAAGTCCGACCTTTAAAACAAAATATAGCACTGGCATAACTTTACATGTAGTTTAGCAGTGATTTATACTTCGTACAATGTAAAACATCAATACACCAAAACAGCTTAGTTATAACCTTTCCAGAAATATTTCCTCTTGGAGATAGTACAAAACTCCAGCGTTAAAATTGTCATACTCTGCAGTAATCATTTTTAGACAGGCTAAGAAGGGCAGGATTAATCTTTTATCGCTACAAGGTCTCTGTATTCATGAGACAATGTTAATTTGCATCTTTATTGGTTAATGCATGAATGTTAATGAAAGTTGTGATGCCTTGTGATCACCCAGAGACTTTTGGAAATTAATCATGTCTTACACCTTCTACAAAGTAACACTTCAGTTTCCCAAAGCATTACCCAAGTTCTAACCTTGGTTCGTTAATTATGGATTTTGCCCATCAATATTATTAAAATTCTGTTGCAGTTTAACCTCCATTGGAATATTGGCTGGTTAGTCAGAACCCCCTCACAGTGGTTATTCAAGTTGTTTATTGTTAAATGATTTCTCATAGATAATCGAGTCTTTCTGTCCCTTTGGCATTTTATGCAAAAACCCACACGCAACACAGCCGAAACCCTAATCCATGCTTTTGTCATGTCCAGCCTCGACTATTCAAATGCCCTCCTTACCGGTCTCTCCAGCTCCACTTTCCACAAAATCCTACTGCTTCAAAACTCTGCCCCTCCGCGTACTGACCCTCGCTAAACTCCGTATCCCTATCATACCAGTCCTCGCCAGGCTCCACTGGTTCCCTATTACAGAACGATCGACTTCAAGATCCTCAAACTTATCTAAAAATTCCTTCACTTCCCAGCACCTCCCTACCTTTCCGACTTGCCTACTTCCCAGTCCAACACCCGCCACCTCCAGCCTCCTACATATTCCTTATGCCCTCTGTTCCCCCATCAGCGGCCATGCTTTCAGCCACTACGCCCTGAAACGCTGGATTGAGGGAAACTCTCCCTCAATCCGTCTGCCTTGCACATTTTCAGATCACGCATTAAGATCTTTCTCTTTGACTGTGCCTATGGTCACATTCCCCCTCTCCTCGGCTCAGCGTCAGGCTCCGCCATTGTTTAGCATTCTGAAATGATACCCTGTGTGAAAGGTGCTATAGAAAAATGCAAGTTGTTGTATGTTGTTTTGAATTGGGCAATAAAGGATAACTCCTGCTATTGGATTTGTCATGCTAATGAATAATTTCACACTAAGATCCACATTTTAATATGGTGGTGCTAAAATATCTCATATTCGAATACTTTAGACCCTAAAGTTTAGGGGACCTTGAGTTTCTTATTAGCTGTGTGGACAATAGTCATTTCAGCAAAGAAGGAACTTTACCACACCTTGATGTCTGTTGTCTAAATAAGGCAATTACGTAAGTTTTTTGTTTATTTACCACCCAACTGCTAGAGTCAAATATCCTTGCCAAGTTGACAACTCAGAGTCAACGCTTGCACATAAATACTTGTCACTTAGAAGAGGCAGTAAAAGGAAAATGAAGGAGTCAAAATAATAATAATAATAGTTTCATTTGATATAACGCCTTATTACGTCTTGGAGACGTCTCAAAGCGTTTCACAGAATATACTGTAAAGTGAATTGTCTGTATATTTTGTGGGCGAAATGCCTTCAGACAAGAAAAAAATGGCAAATAAAATGTTTTCATAAAAGGCATGTATTGGGGAGCATCTAGCCATACCTTCCAGAGAACAGAGCTCCACCTGCTTGGGGATCTCTTGATCTGAAAATCGTCTTCATGTTCCCATATAGATGCAGTGCAATCTTCGTAAAACTGATGCAGATATGATCGGACTCCATAGCGCTGGTGTACTCCATCTGCTGGGTAATTCAAATTCTGTGACCGGCAGATCTCAGTACACAAACTCATTGTTTACAACTGCATTCCGAACTGCAAGACACAAGGGATTGAATTTGGTCAACAGGCAGACTCAAAATGGTCATTCACAAATGCTCCTCCCATATGCAGTCACATACTAATTGGTTTGGCTATTTGGAGTCCTGTAGCTCAGTGGTTAGAGCACTCGCTTTGCAAGCGAGAGACCTGAGTTCAATTCCAGGCAGGGCGAAACCTTGGGCAAGTTTCCTTACTCCACACAGAGCCTAATAATAATCCCTCCAAAACCCAAAACAATAATAAGTTGGTCATTTTCAATCTACGACTGTTTGTGGGACATTGCTGTGCGCAATTGGCTGCCGCGTTCGCCCACAAATATACAGTCAATTCACTTTACAGTGTGTTCTGTGAAGCGCTTTGGGACGTCCTCCTGACGTGAAAAGCGCTATATCAAATGCAAAGATTATTATTATTATTATTTCTACAGTTTGTTGCAAACGTATCAAGATAAACTCCTCACTATAGTTGCTAATTAAAACATGCTTTTTAAAACAAAGCAAAAGGATTTGTTCCTCCTGCAAATGCGGCTGCTCAAATGGCTGCACAATTGTAGGGGTGGGGAGAATTAGAGTAAGTGTAGCATAATTGTTTTCATTATGCATTGAGTACTTTGATGACTCAAGTTAATTTGGCATTGAGAAGCACATTGATTTCTAAATAAATAATTATTTGTTTTAACGCTGCCTCTTAACTATTTAATTTATACCTGCAGGAAATGATCAAGATAGTGATCCTAGCAACCAACGGTCATAGAAGACACAGTGATTCATCATTACATAATAGGTTTACTGACAAACATTGCCAGATATTGCTTGAGAGCAATAAAGAACTAGGACGTATGGTACTTTATGTAAAGTAAATCTTATTTAATCCAGAACATGTACCAAAAACAGAAAACAAAGGTGTTAATTCTCTGTTAGATTAGTTAGAAACACACATAAGGAATTGCAATATGAGCCTTAACTCCAGTGAATGTTAACTTTGAAGGAAAAGGCTTATTACATTTCCTTGTTATTTGCTTTGTGCTGGAAATGATACTTTGTTTATTATGTGGATAAACAGCAAATTGAATTCTCAACCCAATGCGATCCAAGCTCATAGGAAGTAAGGAATGTACATGACTGGATAAATCCATTGGCTGATCCTCACGTGAGGGAAAAAGTATCTATGTACTCAATTTAATTCTTTACCTAATAGCTATTTTGTAAAATAAACAAAGAGCGGTGCACGCACAAAGGCATATTCTGCATTTATTTCACTGAGTGGGTACAACTTTAGAAATGAGAATATGTCACGGGCCAAAGGAAATGTCTTTTTGAAAAGATTTTATAACTCCATTCTGATGCCTTTCATGATCACGATTGAGAGTTTGCATATAATTGGGATGTACGATGTAGTTCTATGAGGGGGAACTACTTCTGGACTCAAAGGATCCCTACTTCAAAAGTAGATTGTGTTGGAGAGTGCACCTACAATGTGGCAATAATGGACTTCCTGATTAATTAAGACGTTCCATTTGAAACATTTTAGACCCAACTGTGAAGTTATGTGCTCTTGGGCTACGTTCACTACCCAAGTTGAGTCTCACTGAGTTGAGACTGCCCAAATACCTTTCACACAGAGCCCTCAAAGGCAGAGACCTCCATCCCATTAGACGAGGCCGCATTCAAGACTTGATCCCTAACCCTGGAGGCAGCAGCTGAACTCGGGTATTGCATGTGAGTCCAGACAAAATAGAAGGACCCATCTCCTAGTTAAACTGATTTTTATTCACGTTCTTTTTAAAACGTATGTCACATAAAAATGATCTGCTAAAGTTCATTACTGAAGAATCACTTTAAGAAGCAAGTAAATTCAATTAAAGAATGGAAGAACTTGATTTTTTCTGTACTTTATCTCATTAAAACGTCTTTCTAGTAATTGCTGCAGTTTCTTGTGACTATTTTTTTGTAGGAAAACATGGCAGCCGTGAGGTGGTTGTTCAGTTAAGCTGGAAATTTGTGGGTGTGGACATGAGGACAAATTTGTTTCTCCCTTTCAAATAGTGTCATACAACTTTAATGTCCACCTGAAAAACAGACAGACAGACCCTCAGTTTTAATGGGCATCTTTTTTGAAGATAGCACCTTTTACAAAAAAAACTGTCACTCAATCCACCACTGTTTGTGCGACACTGTAAAGTGCAATTGGCTGCCGCGTTTCACCCACAAAATATACAGTCAATTCACTTTACAGTATATTCTATGAAGTGCTTTGAGATGTCTCAAAGACATGATAGGCACTATATCAAATGCAAGGATTATTAATAGTATTATTATGAAAAGGTACCAGAAGGGTGTGGGGTTACTATGTCAGCCGGGCTCAATTGGCAAAACTCTCACCTCTAGGCTGTGCATTCAGGCCTCATGTCCAGCTTTTTAACTCACACAAACCAGGCTGACACACCAATACATTGCTAGGTGTATGCTGGAGGTGCTTTCCTTTGAATGAGGCTTCAAACCAAGGGTCCTGTCTTCCTGTATAGGTGGAAGTTAAAGTTGCCATGGCATTAGGTAAAAGGAGAGTTTCTCCTGATGTCCAAGCCAACAATCCCCCAAATAAAATTGATCATTCACTTCATGGCTGTGTAACGAACATGGCTGTGTGCAATTTGGCTGCCACATTTACCTAAAAATGCATAGTCACTACACTTTAGGTAAATCCTTTAAAGCCTTTGAGATGTCCTTATGAGAAATGCAAGGATTATTAATATTATTATTAAGAGCACACCCCGAGTCCTATGTTGCAGTGTCAGCGTAAAATAACAGCTTACATCTATATTTTCTGTAATTTGCTTAATTTCTCCTGCAGTCTTCCCCATACCATACAACTCCCCCCTCCCACCCTCACCCCCAAATATATCTGGGACTATATAGACAGTCAGTGAATGGATATTTCACTTTTCCTACCTATTTGGGTTTAAGCAAATTCTCTGCTTGTCGGCCTCCTCAACTCCTCCCTCTACAGGCTGCAGATCATCCAGAACTCTGCAACCCATATCCTTTCCTGCATCAGGCTCCGTGACCCTATCAATCCTGTCCTCATACAACTCCACTGGCTTCCCATCACACACAGAGGATACAGTTCAAGATTATGGTCCTTACCTTCAAAACCCTCCATGGTCTTGCTCCCCCCCACCTCTGGGACTTTCTAACCTCCTACCAACCAGCCCACTCCATCTGCTCGGTCACCCTCCCCGATCCCGGCCCGCAGTTCGGGTCTGAAACACTGATTGTCCAGCGCCTTGGAACATCCTCCTGACGTGAAAGGCGCTATACAAATTTTGTTGTTGTTGTACCATCTTCCTTTGCCATCTGCCCACAGCAACATGGTTGAGATTGAGACATTTAAATGTGTACGGAATCCGGGAACGAGCTCACGGCTAGCCCTCACTGTATACGGTGAATTCCAACTTTCTATAAAGTGTAAGCAACTTGCATACAGCAAGTAAACCACAAACAGTTATGAAACAAATGACAAGTTTTATCTGTAGGATCGATAACCAGAACATTCTGAAAACATTCCCTTCCATGTTCAAATAGTGCTATGGGATTTGAACATCCACCTGAAGAGGCACCAGTTTAACATCTCACCCAAAGGACAGCACATCCGACAATGCAGTTTTCTACCTGCGCTCGAGCGTCAGCTTAGCCACTCGATCCACGACTGCTTGTGTGACACCTCGGTGCGCAATTGACTGCTGCATTTCGCCCACAAAATACACACACAGTTCACTTTACAGAATATTCTGCGAAGAACTTTCAGACATCGCAACAACGTGATAAGGCGCTATGTCAAATCCAAGGATTATTATAATTAACAGACTCAAAAGTTCTAACCGAAAGCTTGAACCCACAACTTTCTGACGCAAAGACAAGTGCTACCGACTGAGTCGGGTTCGGTGGTGCACAGCACGGAAAATAAACACGAACTGGTCCAGGGAATGTTTCTCTTCCTCTACAGTTTGTATTACGAGGCGACTCGAAAGAATAGCGATGTTTTTTTTTTGCTGTGCCCTTGTGTAAGCTATGGTGATGATGATGAACTCGCTGCTGGAGCTGAGCTACTTGCAGACCTCTCCAAGGTGCTGAAATCTCAAGAGAAAACAAGGGAGACAGATAACCAGAGCCCGCAGCTCAGTGCAAACTAAACCAGGGAACTGGAAAGATGGGAATGTGTCAACATCCAGCTATTTCAACTGGGTCCCATCCACCCCATCCAACAACAACAACAACTTGGATTTATATAGCGCCTTCCACGCGGGACGCTTTACAACTTAGGATCCCGGGACCGAGCCAGGGGGAGGGGTGGGAAGGTGGCCAAAGGCGCAGTCGAAAAGAAAGGTCTGGCAAAAAAAGAAAGGTCTCCCAACACTGGCAATGTAATCGATTCGCATCATTTCACCTTCTTCTCTCAGCATTGGCTGGAACTGCCAGAGAAAAGAAAAAAAAACACTAGTGATCTCTCTGTCTCTCTCTCTCTGTGTGTGTGTGTGTGTGTCTCTCTCTCTCTCTCTCTCTCTCTCTGTCTGTACTCTCTTCGACATCTCCATGGTTCTACCTACATCCAAAGCAGGTTACAGTGTGTGTGTGTGTGTGGAGGGGGGAGAGAGAGAGAGAAATGCACAGAACAGTCGAGTGGATAATTCACAGCGTTTTTCACACACACATACATACACACAAAAACATGTTTCCATTGCAAACCCACCTTCAGACCTACCGACATCAACCTGCTGTTGCATTCCCGCTGTGGGGTGGGTGGTGGGGAAGTTAGACAGACAGGACAGGGAGGGAGGGGAGGGGAGGAGAGGGAGGACATTGCTGGCTGATGGCTGTGAATTTATCATCACATCAGCCTGGATGCGACCAGTAGCTAAATCATTGCAGCCCAAAGCACTGACACCAACCAGCCCCACTGTGCTGTGCAGGGCTGGGCTGTGCAGGGCTGGGCTGGGCTGTGCTGTGCAGGGCTGGGCTGTGCAGGGCTGTGCAGGGCTGGGCTGTGCAGTGCTGGGCTGGGCTGTGCAGGGCTGTGCAGTGCTGGGCTGTGCAGGGCTGTGCAGTGCTGGGCTGTGCAGGGCTGTGCAGTGCTGGGCTGTGCAGTGCTGGGCTGTGCAGTGCTGTGCAGTGCTGGGCTGTGCAGTGCTGTGCTGTGCAGGGCTGTGCAGTGCTGGGCTGTGCAGTGCTGGACTGTGCTGGGCTGTGCAGTGCAGGGCTGTGCAGTGCTGGACTGTGCTGGGCTGTGCAGGGCTGTGCAGTGCTGGGCTGTGCAGGGCTGTGCAGTGCTGGGCTGTGCAGTGCTGTGCAGGGCTGTGCAGGGCTGTGCAGTGCAGTGCAGTGCAGGGCTGTGCTGTGCAGTGCTGGGCTGTGCAGTGCTGTGCTGGGCTGGGCTGTGCAGTGCTGGGCTGTTCAGTGCTGGGCTGTGCAGGGCTGTGCTGTGCAGTGCTGTGCTGTGCTGCAGCTCAACACCCAGCGCATCCTGTTACTGAGACTGACTTACCTGTCAAACGTGACTCGTGCTCCCTGTTGTACCTTTGCCGACGGTCGCCTGTCCCTCTCTGTCTCTCAGTACATGGCCATCCCCTCTGGGTCTCCCTCTACACCGACATCAGCCACTCCAGCTCCAGCTCCTCCGAGCCTGCGCCACCCAACCCCAACCCACCCCACCCCACCCCCTGCCCAGCCCTGCGGAGGCGGCAGCAACACACACACACACACACCACCACCACCACCACCAGGGAAGTGGGTGATCTGAGCAACAGGAGCAGCTCTCTCTCTCTCTCTCACACTCCTCTCTCTCTCTCTCTCTCTCTCACACTCACTCCCTCTTTCTCTCTCTCTCACTCACTCACACTCTCTCTCTCTCTCTCTGCAAACATCCATCACACAGATAAATGCTCAGCAAATCCAATTATCTGCCTATCTCAAAAAATGTCTGCTATATATATATATATATATACACACTCACACACACACACACACACAGTATATATCTTTTGCAGGCGTTTCGCCTATAAAATACTCGGTCAGTCGCGCTATATGCTGTGAAGCGCTTTGAGAGGTCGCGGCGATGTGATAAGGCACTATATTGATTGCAAGGATTATTTATTATTATTATTATTATTATTATTATTTACCAACCAGTCCTTTCTACTTCCCAGTAAAAGTATGTTTTTTTAGGATCTGGCAAATGTCCGCCCTTTGTTTTCTCTTTAATACTCTATTTGTCCAATTTGTGCTATTCCCAAAAGGGGTGGAAAGTGCTAACTGCAATTTCTGAATATTGTATGCATGTGAATAATCAGTCAAGTGAGCAAAACGCCAACCCCCCCCCCCCCCCCCCACACACACATATATACACCACACAGCCCCCACTGCGCTTCCCGACCTTTTGTTCACTTCACCAATGTTTGTAAATTGTTGACTCCAGTATGACCCTTCCGGCCTAACATGGAGGATCATATAAACACTTTGATAATACCTTACATTAGAGTCCAGTAAAATCTATCACCTCTAAGGACCTGACTCACTACCTCCCTGGTGCATTCAGGTACAATAGTCACAACTAATTCTATGGTTCAGCCACTATACATCGCTTATTTCAGCAGTGACATCCTAGCTTTGGAGAAGATGCAAAGAAGGAAACCTGCTTACTCCCCAACCCATTACCCGCTCATTCCCCTCGACTGGCTCTGGCCTTTGCTTGTCCCTTGTGCACTCCGTTCCACGATCAGTGGCTGTGCTTTGAGCCACTATGCCCAGAAACTCTGGAACACTCTTCCGTTATCTACCTTGCCCCCTCCTTCCTCATCTTTAGTTTGTGCCTGAAGACCTTCCTCTTCGACCGTGCCCCTGGCCCGGCCTTGTGCTCCGCCACTGTCAAGCGCTCTGTTACTTTACCTTGCGTGTGGGGCGCTATTTAAATGTAAGTTGTTGTTGTTATCTCATTTAATACTTGGGGTGAGGAATCTGAGCTATGAGGAGAATTTACAGAAGCTTAAGAATAACTACAGTGAAGAAGAGATAATTGAGGAGCAATTCATTGAAGTATTCCAAAGGGTAATGAAATGCTAGATTCCAATATCTTATTCAGTAAATTAAGGGTACACAGCAAGGGATTGTGAAGGGGGCGGGGGGGGAGTGGGGTGAATAGAGTTTATATTTAACAACCTTACACAGAAGGCAGCTAACATGCGGAACAGTTTGCCCTGGGAGGCTGTCAGTGCAAAACAGATAGTGTAGGTGATTTTAAGGGTGAAATGAATTTGGTTTTAAGGGTTGGCTGGTATAGGAACTTTATGTTTTGTGGCAGATGTAAGTGGTCCAGAACAAACTTTCACAATATAACTTCTAATATTTTTCATATTTGTCTTTATCAATTTTTTAAAGAAATTATTTTGCTTATAATGGTGGAGGCGGGGAAGAGAGAGGAGATTTTTTAATTCCATCAATCTCTATTGGGTCCCAGCCCAGATTGAAAGGATAAAGCACAAACCCAGATTTGTAACAACAGGTGCAATCATTTCACCAGTCATGGAATTACATAACCCTCAGCTCGTAAATAACTGTTTTACAAGATATTTTACCTCACCAAACAGCCTCATTACGAAGTGTGGCAGGGCAGCCCTGATCAAAACATTGCCTGTCAATACTGTTCTGGGTTCTCATTCTTAATTCAGACCATGTATAAAGGATAATGACTGGTCGAGTAACTCACAAGCAGATAAATTACACTCAGGATGTGGTTAGATCATATTTATCATGTCACATATTTAATCGACTGTTCCATTTGTTCCACAGCTGACGCATTTTTTAAAAATGTTTTTTTTTCACTTTAATTTTAATGGGGCCATTAGAAAGATGGAAAGGGAACATTCTTTAATGCTTCCCATTAGTTTATTCAACCTGCCTTTCGCCTTCTTCTGATGTGGCTGGCTGCCATCTTGAAAATTCACTCAATGGAGACTAATGTTCAATACACTTGACATCTTGCTAAACAACAAGAGACGGACAGTTGGTTGGGAGTCATAAAGCTAATGTGGATCTTTTACCTTTTGTGATTCAGAATCAATATTTTAAAAATGAAAACATTTCAAGTGCTGTACAGAAACAAATCCCATGGGGACTAAATAATGGCAGATAGCTTTTTATTATAAATAAAGGTAGAGTGATGCATATAGGAACAGGACATGTGAAACGTTTACTCAATGAATGAGTGTCCGTGAGCAAAGGTGAATAAGGATTTTATTCCAATTATTGACCATTATGTTTACAATAGGCCACTCAGGCAATGGTTTGCATCTAAGGGATGACAATTGATTAATACAAACTGATTGTTTTAACCTTGTGAAGCTCGTGTGACAAATTCCAGAATAGGTAATAGGAGGAGGACTTACCTGGTAATAAAGGGCTACAGGAGGAAGCTATTGTTAGCCAACATAAGTGTATTATTATAATCCATGTATATTCACTGCACAGACCATGTATAACTCCCCCTATGGTAAACTTAATGCATTCGGTCTCCTGAGGGAGGCAATTAAAGGTAAATCGCCATAAAAAAGAAATTTCTCCCCAGTTCCCAAAATAACAAGTAAAATCTATGATACAAGTCCAACTCTAACACTGACATCATTCAGCTTTGAGCAGCTGTATTCAATAGACAGCGTACTCTACGTATTTCTAAACAGATTTCCTTCCTAAAGAATTCTTGTTGACTTGGGGAACTTCACTCCAGATGTAGATCTCATCTGAGTGGAATTCCTGTGAGCTAGTGTGATACACATTGTTTTTGGATCAAATGCAGAAACCTACCACCATGCTTACAAATATTCAAACCAAACAGAATTCCATACATGAAGGCCACCTCCATTGGAAATTTCCTTGTGTCTAGAATTGAATGGATATTTGTTCCGTGGAGGGATCTATCCTGTTTACCTAATTTTGGAGATTATTAGGCACAGGTTAACAAGAGCCAAGACTTGGGGGCCCCAGAGTGAGTTGGGGTACTGTTGGAATTTAAATATGTAAATTTGCATAGCTTGACATCGAAAGCAATTTCTGCCATGCTTTCTGCCACTTCTCAGGGCCCCCAAAAAATATTAGGACCTGGAGCCAGTGTCACTGGCACGTTTTCAATTTTCAACTCATGTAGAATTCTCCCACTTCAAAGTCAGTGGCAGTGAACTTCATCCGTGAGGTTAGTTTTATAATCACGGTTCATGTAGAACTAACATCCCCATGCCTCTAATCCTTACAAAGTCTTGTAAGATATTCCTTCTCAATTTAATTTCCTGCATCAAAAAACAATTCATTCTGAAAGTCTCTCCTCAATAATAATAATTTTCTGTCATGTGACCAACTTTTTTGAACATTAACACCGTCCTTTGAAACTTCTTGGCTTCTCAAGATTTCAACTGCATTTGTCTACAAAATACACAGTCACTACACTTTATGGTAAATCTTGTGAGCAGCAGAGAGGCACCCTTTGAGATGTCCTCCCGTGCGGAAAGGCTCTATAACAAATGTTAGAATTATTATTACTGCAACATTACAAATTGAAGTGCTGCCAAAATGACCTCACTCACGTCCTGACATACAATTCCAATTTATACTGTACTGTACGTGGCAAATTAGTATGAAAATTATGTCAATTTGGCACAAAAAGGGCAATATAAATAAGTGCTACAGTCCCAAGTTCCAGAATCATTCTTGTCAATCTTGCCAGTGCATCAATATACTTCTCTAGGTCCAATGTGTAAACAGTGAGAATTTAAAATGAAAACTCTAAAAACTACTTACCCATTGTATAAACAGACAATCAATACCATTACATTAAAAATGTCCTTGAACTCATTCAACATAGCAAACTCATTCATGTGTTATGTAGCTGAGTCTACTTATTGTTTTAATATGGTGTAACTCATCTGATATCTTCTATTGCTTTTACCACAACCACTATAAATGTCCCTCTTCTTTACATATGGATATGAATGAGAGATGAATTGAACCTGTTTTCTACCAGATACAATCAATTTGCGTATGTGTTGACTTTTAATTCTTTCACCCACAAACTACACATTGAATTCACTTTTCAATATATTCTGTGAAGCGCTTTCAGACGTCTCAACGACATGATAAGGCGCTGTATCAAATGCAAGGATTATCATTATTATACCGTATGTAATGGGCTCAATGGTAAGCACTGGCTTAGAGAAGATTCTGCTTTGGTAGGACATTGCCAACTTGTGATGACAAAATAATTATTCAAGCTTGTATTATATAGCATAAAATAGGGAATACCACAATCTGAAGCGATGTACAAACAACTTGATCTTCCCTTTCACATTTGAATGGGTCAGAATCATTCAATTATTTTGCTGTTTTTTGTTCAGTAAAAATGGATGGAGCATTTAGGACTTGCCTTTGCGTTAATAAATTCAAATGGACCAGGTTCGTGAACACTCTCAGTGCATAAAAGAAAGGCAAAATACTGCAGATGCTGGCTATCTGAAATAAAAACGGAAGTCACTGGGAACACTCAGCAAGTCAGGAGCATCTATGGAGTGAGGAAAGTGAGTTAGCGTTTCAGGTCAATGATCTTTCATCAGAATGGAGTTAATACACTCAGTGTATGTTTCTCCAGCCGCACCCAAAGCAGACTGTTC